TTGCCGGACACGAAAAAAGACAAAAAGGAAAAAAAAAAGTGTCATGCTCTATAATTGGTAACTTGACTGTTTCATATTCAAGAAGAGTAAACAAGACAGAGTCAAGGTAGCTCAAAATGTCAGAGCAGTGAATCTGACTTTTTCTTTTAGATGTAATATTGCATTTGTTCTAGTATCTCCTCTATTACCTGTGTTTGGATGTAAGAAAATATTATTGCTTGGTGGGAAAATACTATTTGCAAATTATAAGTGCCCTTGCCCATGAGATGCTTCAAATGGTATTTTTCTTTATTTAGACCTAAATTGATTTTAATGCACTTTGCCGCAAAGTCACATTCATTTTAGTATACCTTTCTTATAAGAAAAACAATAACAAAGCCCAGAAATAACTGTAATACAGTTTTGGAAATTAAGATAAAGCTTGCTTTTATTATTATGATTGAATTTTATGAACTTAATATATTAAAGTTGCTTTAAAAATTCTATTAAGATAATGCAGTTTATTTTAAAAAGTTATTACTTTGATTTTTCCTTTGGTTGCTTGTGCTTTTGGGGTTGTACTCATGAAGTCTGTGCCCAGTCCTACTTCCTGGAGTGTTTCCCCTATGTTTTCTTTAAGGAGTTTTATTGGTTCAGGGGGTATATTTAGTTCTTTAATCCATTTTGAGTTGATTTTGGTATATAGTGAGTTTCATGGTATGGGTCTAGTTTCATTCTCCTGCATATGGATATCCAGTTATCCCAGCATCATCTGCTGAAGAGGCAGTCTCTTACCCAGTGTATAGGCTTGGTGCCTTTGTCAAAGATCAGATGGCTGTAGGTGTACAGGTTGATTTCTGGATTCTCTATTCTATTCCATTGATCCGTGTGTCTGTTTTTATGCCAGCACCATGCTGTTTTGGTTATTATAACTTTGTAGTATAATTTAAAGTCATGTAGTGTTATGCCTCCAGCTTTATTAATATTATTATTATTATTTTTTGCTCAGAATTGCTTTGGCTATTCATAGTCTTTTGTTATTCCATATAAATATTAGGATAGTTTTTTCCGTTTCTGAGCAAAATATCATTGGAATTTTGACGGGGATTGCATTGAATTTGTATATCACTTTGGGTAGTATGGACATTTTCACAATGTTAATTCTTCCAATCCAAGAGCATGGGATATCTTCCCATCTTCTTGTGTCCTCTTTAATTTCTCTCAACAGTGGTTTGTAGTTCTCATTGTAGAGATTTTTCACATCCTTGGTTAACTTTATTCCTAAGTATATTATTTTTTTGGTGGCCATTGTAAATGGGCAGGCTTTCTTGATTTCTTTTTCTGCATGTTCACTATTGGAGTATAGAAATGCTACTGATTTTTGTGTGTTGATTTTGTATCCTGCAACTTTGCTGAAATCATTATCAACTCTAAGAGTTTTTTTGTAGAGGCTTTAGGCTGTTTGACATATAGGATCATGTCATCTGCAAACAGGGACAGTTTCACTTCATCTTTTCCAATCTAGATGCCCTTTATTTCCTTCTCTTCTCTGACTGCTCTGGCTAGTACTTCAAATGCAATGTTGAATAGGAGTGGTGAGAGTGGGCATCCTTGTCTAGTTCCTGTTTAGGATGATATTGGCAGTGGGCTTATCATATATGGCTTTAATTATGATGAGATACTTTCCGTCTATACCTAACTTGTAGAGAGTCTTTATCATGAACGAATGTTGAATTTTGTCAAATGCTTTTTCAGCGTCTGTAGAGATGATCATATGGTCTTTGTCTCTGATTTTATTGATGTTGTGTTTCATAACATCATGATTTGATTATGTTGAACCAACCTTGCATCCCTGGGATGAATCCCACTTGATCATGGTGTATAATTTTGTGTATGTGTTGCTGTATTCTGTTAGCTAGTATTTTATTGAGGATTTTTGCATCTATATTCATCAAGGATATTGGCCTGCAGTTTTCTTTTTTTGTTGTATCTTTGGTTTTGGTATCAGGGTGTTGTTTGCTTCATAGAATGAGATTGGGAGAATGGCCTCTGCTTCAATCTTTTGGAATAGTTTGTAGAGAATTGGTATCAATTCCTTGAAGGTTTGGTAGAATTCTGCTGTGAATCCATCTGATCCTGGGCTTTTCTTTGTTGGGAGCCTTCTGATAACAGCTTCAATCTCTTTTATTGTTATTGGTCTGTTCAGATTTTCTACATCTTCTTGGCTCAGTTTTGGTAGTTTGTGTGTGTCCAGAAATTTATCTGTTTCCTCCAAATTTTCAAATTTTTGGCATATAGTTGTTTATAGTAGTCTCTAATGATTTCTTGTATTTCTGAGGTATCAGTTGTAATATCACCTTTTTCATTTCTAATTTTTGTTATTTGGGTCTCCTCTCTTCTTTTTTTAATTAGCCATGCTAATGGTCTGTCAATTTTATTTATCTTTTCAAAAAACCAGCTTTTTGAGTCATTGATCTTTTGTATTGTTTTTGGATTTCTATTTCATTAAGTTCTTCTCTGATCTTAATGATTTCTTTCCGTCTGCTAACTTTGAAAAGTTATTACTTTAAAATAATATAAAAGAAATATGAAGAATGTCATAGTTATCTAGGCAAGAGATGATGGTGTCATGGACTATGATGTTAGCAGGGGAAATGGTGAGAAGTAAGTAAGTTCAGGAACTACTTTGTAGGTAGAACCTACAGGAATTCCTGATGGATGAGATATGCTTTGAAATGAAATAAGATTTAAAGTTGGGTTCCTCTGTCCTTCTAGACACATTTCAGTTGCCAGTAGCCCCTTGTGGCTAGGCACTGCCTTACTGAACAGCACAGATAGAGAATATCTCGGTTGTCACAGAAGGGTCTTTGGACAGCATCACTCTAGAGAAAGACTCACATTCTTCAGCTGTGTGAAATTGTCTTATTTTATTTCTTTGATAATTTTCTACCATCTCTTTTTTCTGTTTCTCACTGCCTGAAACTTCTGTTGATAAGATATTAGACCTCCCGGATTCTCTAAATCTTTTTTTCCTGTCACATTTTGAAATCCTCGTATTTTTTTCCTACTTTCGGAAGGATTTCCTTGATTTAATCTACAAGCCCTGCTATTGCATTTTATACTTGAGCTCTTGAATTTAAAATTTTCAGGAGTTCTTTATTCTCAGAGCTTTCCTTTTTCATAACATCTTGTTTTTGTTTTATGATTGCAGTGCCTTTTCTGAGAATACCTATTAGATGATTCATTGTTGTTTTGTTTTAGATTTTTAGTAAGAACTAAATGGATATTTTAAAAATATTTTTAAAACATCATTATTTTTTATTGGGCCTCCCTTTTTTTTATTTGTTTATCTGTAATCACCTTTTATTCTGAAGACCCCCCCTTAAATATCTGGTAACTCTTGATTATCTGTGTCACTAAAAACCAACTTGGGAGTTTTATGTATGTTGCAGGATTTATTGCCTGGCAGGCCTTTCCTGGGGAACTTTTCCATGCTTGAATGCCTCTGGAGCTTATTGCTTTTCCCAGATTTTTGTTTGTCTGCTTATTTTTTGTCTGTATTGGAAGTACCTGGCTGGCTGGGTTCTACTTTGTTTATAGGGAGGAGTGCGGTGTGAGACGAGCTGTTACTTGGACAGACTTTCAGTTAATCCCCCTTATTCGATCCTTTCAATCTTCCATTGTAGCTGGTGTTTTTGAGACCCAGGCCTCTATGGAATTCTGCAGGGTGGATTAATTTCCTTCTTTGGTGGTAGCTGCAACTCCATTCTTCCACCGAACAGACACTGTTTCTCCATCGAGTCTCCTTATGTTCCAGAACTTGATGGCCAGTCTCATAGTCGTGATTGTTGTTTGTCTTTTTATATTCAATTATTGTTATTTTAGTAGAGTCTTGGGCCAGTCTACACCGTTAACTGAGGATGATGCTTTTAAAAAATATTGTTTATAATGTATCAAGTGCTTTTCAATAGATTAAGTCATATGAACCCATAGAGATTACTGTTGCAAACTACAGTTTATCCATCACACATCTGGCTCGTTTATATTGATTGTTTTAATCCTATAGCAATGTTCCTCTCCTCTGCATCCTAGTGTCTTTCTTTCTAGGTAACTCTGTACCTGTTTACCAAACTATAGCACCACATTGTTTTAAACGTAATATAATAATCTTATGGGTAGCTAAATTGAAATGTTAGTAGGCTGTAAGAGTGTCCTGTAGTCAAGAATTTCATCTTCTCATCTTGGGAAAATTAAATAGGCCATTGAGACTTGCTTCTAGCTCTTATTTCATTTTGAATATAATTATGAATCAGTTATTATTATATATTTGTATTTTCAGTTTATTGTAGTCATAATAATTTTTAACAGCTCGTCTATCTTTGACCAGTGGGAATATCTTCATTAGAAATATTAGAAATATTTTGAACTGAATGAAATTGAAAATGTAATATGTCCAAATATGTGTGATGCAGCTAAAGCAGTGCCAGACGAAATTTTACAGCACTAAATGCTTATGTTAGAAAAGAAGATCTCAGATCAACAATCTAAGCTTCCACCCTGAGAAATTAGAAAAGGAAGAGCAAAATAAAATCGAGCAGAGGGAAGGGAATAATAAAGATGAGAGCAGAAATCAATATGATTGAAAATAAAAAACAATAGCAAAAAAATCAATAAAACTCAAGATTGGTTCCTTGAAAAGGTAAATGTAACTGATAAACCACTAGCAAGATTGACAAAGAAAAAAAGAGAAGACACAAACTACCAGTATCAGGAGTGAAAGAGGAGATATCACTACAGACCCACTAGACATTAAAATGATAATAATAAGGTAGTACTACAAACAACTCTGCAGGTAAATTCAACAACTTTGATGAAACGGACCACTTCCTTGAATGCACAAATTACAAAACCCCACAAAGATGAAATAGATGGCCCATGAGTAGTCTTATAACAGTTAGAGAAATTAAATTTGTAGTTTAAAACCTTCCAAAAAAGAAGTCTCCAGGCCCAGATGGTTTCACTACTGAATTCCTCCAACAATGTAAAGAAGAAAAACCACCAATTTACACAATCTTAGAGAATAGAAGAGAAGGGAACACTTCTCAATTTATTCTGTATGGCTAGCATTACTCTGATATTGAAACTAGACAACAACAGTACAAAAAAGAGAAAACTACAGACAAGTTTCAGTGAATATCAGTGCAAATATCCTCAACAAAACATTAGAAAATTGAATTCAGAAATATATAAAAAGAATAATACACTATGACCATGTGGGGCTTCTCCCTGGAATGCAAGACTGATGTGGTATTCGAAAAATAAATCAATGTAATCCACCATACCTAGTAGTTTAAACAGAGAAATCACATGATATCAGGAGACACCAAAAAATAAAAAAATAAAAACCCCACCACCCATATACATTTGACAAAATGCGACATACACTCATGGTAAAAACTCTTGGCTAACTAGAAATAGTAGGGAACTTTCTGTACCTGTTGAAGGAGATCTGTAAAAATCCTGCAGCTACCCTCATACTTAATCATGAGAGACTGAATGCTTCTTTCTAAGATAGGAACAAGGTAAGATGTCTCCACTCAACACTCCAACATTGTACTAGAATTCTTAGCCAGTGCAATAAGGCAAGGAAATAATAGTCATAGGGATTGAGAAGGAAGAAATAAAACTATCCTGTTCATAACTGCATGATTGTCAATATAGGAAAAAACCCAAGAAATCTCTCAAAAAATAAACAGCAAAAAACCTATAATGTGAGTTTTGTAAGGTTACAGGTATAAGGTCAACACACAAAAATCAATCACATTTTTATATACTAGCAATGTACAATTGAAAATCAAAATATAAAAGCCAATACCATTTATAATAACTCAAAGAAAAATGAAATACTTAGGTGTGAATGTAACAAAACCTGTACAGGATCTGTATGCTGAAAACGACAAAACTCCTAAAATGTAATTTATTTGGTGTATAAATCATTTTATTCATTTGCCATCAAGATTTCTCTGCCTGTGCTCAAATTACCTTTAAGGACAGATTCTGAAGTAGCAAACCATTTTTTATGCATTTACCTTCATCTATGTTATATGAAATAGATGTACCAGTAGACCATTTTTATGTATATTATCTTCAATATATCTGTCTAATTTTAAAAACATTAAAACAATTTTGTTTCAGTTCTCTTTTTCTGACATAAAAGATCAGTCGTATTCATAATGTGATTTGAAATTGAATTTCATATTTCATCTACACATTCATCTCTGTCAATAGCTGCTTAGGAACTGTTATGGATATATTATGCAATACTTCCTCAGATCCTGCTGTATGTGTCAACTGAGTGATTTTTTTTTTTTTTGGATTTCAGTTTGGAAGATGTAAGTGATACACATTTTCTATAAAGTTTAATAGAATATTGTCTCCTCTTACATAAGCCTTTTGTTTCTTTCTAATTTTTAGTTTTCCTCATATAAGCCTGTGGTTCATATGTCTATTCATTGCAAAAAGTTGTTTGCTTATACTACTGGTTTATGTATGTTAATTATTTAAGGAAAAAGGGCTTATAAAGTTAATGCCTGAAATTCATTTATCTAGTGCTCTGTATCACTGGGAGATTTGATTATTACAACCTGCTGTTTCTGAGGCTGTGTAACTGACATTAGTTTTGTATTTTAGTATTCACACATAGACTTTAGAATGGGACCCCCTGCAGATTGTGACTGGGCTAAACACTCAGGGTAGGGTAATAAAAAGAAACACTTCATTTCGGCTTCAAGAGCTAATCGTCTTCATCACAAACCTTGACAAAAAAGACACTGCACAAGCTGTGGTGCTTGAACATTCAGGGGTTGTCTGGGCATACAGAACATAAAGCAGTTTAGAGAGACTGGTTATTCTACTCAGTACCTTAATTTAATGACCTAGACAAAGAAATTTCAAATGTGCTGATTAAATTTGTAATTGACACTAAGCTAATTAGGATGGTTAATATTCTAGAAAACCATAATCCAATTCAGAATGATTTTGACCATTGAAAAAAATTGCCGTTAAAGCAGAGTAAAATTAAAAATGAATTTAAACATTATGCTTAGAGACAGAAGATCAATAAAAATATATGTGAAAAGGATGGCAATTATGAGAAATACATATGAGAGAAGGTTAACTAGATGGCAGTATTACCTCTCACCTTCCTTATCCAGTATCTAAGACTCTGGAAACACAGAAACGACCTGGGCACTCATAGCTTTAATAGTGGCAATTGTTCTCCTCCCACCTTTTCCTACCTTTCTGCACAAGGGTAGCCAGTCCAGACCCGTTCCCTTCCCTGGTTTATATGCTAGCGGTTCTATTGGTTTTGACCTTGTACTCTCAATACTTACACCCACAGTTTCCCCCATCTAATTGGCTGACAGTGTCTGCTGGTGCTGTTTTAGATTTCCAAAAACATCTTGCTATTACTGTGCCAATTTATCTGTCTCTTTCCTTTGTAATCCAATCTCTAGTTCCTGGTTTCCAATTATTGCTAACAACAATAGTAAAAGAAAGATTCCTCAGAATCATAATTGACTACAAACTGAACAGCAAATTAATTATTATTGGGGAAAAAAAGAAAACAGCAAAGAAAGCCAATCTCTGTCACCTAAGACCAAATATGTAATCTTAACTTTATATGTTATATTGAAAGAATTATGTAACAATGAACCCACGTAGATGTGTCAAAACTGTTCTAAAAGCCGTGCATCCTTAACTCATTTCATTCTTACGACAGTCCCAAGAGGTGGGTACTGTGGGTGATTCATTCTATACATGAAGTTCCCAAGAGGTTAAGTCACTTGCCTGAGATGACACTGCTGGTGAAAGGCAGAGCCTGAAGTCTAACCCAGTTAGTCTGGCTCTAGAGGGCTGACCCCTAACCACTATTCTACACTGCCTTGCTATTGGAGGTGACACTGGATATAGGCCACAAGCACCAGGCAGGAACAAACTGGAGAGCACTTAGATAAAAATAAAAAATCTTTAAATGGCTGGTAAATAAATCATGTTAGGAGGGTTAAAGGAATTTGGGTTTTGCAAATTTAGGAAGTTTAGGGAAGAGAAAATATAAGGAGTGAGTTAATTGAGTTTCAAACACATAGAGGATTTTTTCAAGAAAGTAGTTAGTATCTTGTGTCAATTGAAGATCGACTAAAAGAAATGCTGTGAAGTCCAATCAGGAATGTTGATGTTGGATAGGAGGAACCATGTCTTGCTGTCAGATCTAAGGAAAAATAAATTGGGAGGTTGTGAAGGCTCGGGCCCAAGACATAAGTCTAGAATGGATGACTCTGATGAAGATGGCTACTATTCAATTGACTTGCGACTATACTTTGTCTCTTTAATTCTGAGCAGATGCGATCATTCTTATTCTTAATCTGCCATTACCTAAAATGTTAATAGAATTTCAGAACTGAAGACATCTAGTTCAACTACCATATTTTACAGACAAGAAAACAATCAGAAATCAGATGTGTGTTGTTATAGGATGGACTATGTAGTAAGGGACAGAACTGAGCTTTGAACCCAGGTCTCCTGACATCATGTTCAGAACTCAGGCTGCCTTGTTTTTGGCTTGGGGCAGAGGGTAAGGAAGGGAGAGTTTCACAGTCACAGAAGATAATAGTCTTGAGAATTTCTACTTGATATAGTGAGATTGCTATGGACCTGAAAGGGGGAGGGGTGTGGAATAAGGTGCACTGATTTATGAAATGTCCTTTTTTTTTTTTTTTAATGTAGTATGAACCCAGAGGACCTGGTCGGCCCTTGTACCAAAGAAGAATCTCATCTAGCTCAGTCCAGCCTTGTTCTGAAGAAGTAAGAACTCCACAAGATAGTCTGGCTCAGTGTAAGGAGCTTCAGGACCACGGTAACCAATCTTCTTTCAACTTTTCATCCCCGGAGTCCTGGGTAAACACCACCTCATCTACCCCCTATCAGAACATTCCATGCAATGGATCCAGCAGGACAGCTCAGCCCAGAGAGTTAATAGGTAAGATGGTGGGTGATTTTTAAAACTCTGTAATTTTAACTCCTTAGCTCCCTGCCCCCTCAATTTACGTTATTATCTTTGCATTTAATGCCCATAGCTGGTAGGTGTGCCCCAGGCATACATATTAATTTAGAACTATATTGATTCCATTTATGGTCCATATTTGGAAACTGATCATTTCATCATTTTGACCTATGATTGAAGGAAAGAAGTAATGAAACTTAAAACTTTTAAAAAAAATTTTTTTAAAAATTTTTTTGTCTTTTTCCGTGTCTGGCAACGGATTGCAACCCTCAGTGTCGCCCCCATACCGGACCGGGACCGGCAACGGGATCGCAGCCCTCTGTGTTGCTCCCGCGCCTCGCTCAGCCAGTGAGCGGGAACTGGTCTGTATGTGGGATCCGAACCCTCGGCGGGAGCGCCACCGCGCTTCCCAAGCGGCGCACTATAGCAGTGCGCCACCAGGCCGGCCCTTAAAACATATTTTTAAGTGGATGGAATTGCCTTTGCTTGGGAAACGTTTATTTTCTGATTTTTGGTTTTTTTCTTCAGAGTTGGGGATGGGAGTTGGTTAGATCAATGTCAGTTTTCAAGGATTTGCTTCCAATAAAGTATTGGCAGTTTGCTATATGATAGAGTTTGGCCACCAGAGGGACCAGCAAAGTCTAACATTCTGAATTTATTTAGAATTCCTGTGTTTATTCTTTATATTTTGATAAATTGAAGGCTAAAGAACAAAAAAAATGGCATCAAAAAGGATAGGAATGGACAAATCACTCTACACTTGTACAGGTTGAGCATCCCTAATCCAAAAATTTGAAATCCAAAATGTTCCAAAATCCAAAAGTGGGCACTGACCTCATGCTCAAAGGAAGTGCTCACTGGAGGATTTTGGATTTTTGGATTAGGAAAGCTCAACCGATATGTATTCTGCAAATATTCCAAAGTCTGAAAAAATCTGAACACTGAAACACTTCTGGTCCCAAGCATTTTCGATAATGATACTCGTTTGCCTGTACTATGTGGTGGAAAGTCTAAAGTCTTCTTCTTTAGCCTTGGACATGAATGCATTTTTATCTTTCTTAGGTCTAGTCTCTCTTTTTTTTAACATTGAATGTAAAGACACTATACTCTTTGAGTTCTCTAATGTCCTTCTCTTTGTAGGCTGTAGACATTGATCTTTATGAGTAAGTCCGAGATCTTTGTGTGGTCAGTTTCTGCCCTGGTAGCATCAACTTTTGTGTTTGAAATTTTGTTCATCTTTAGAATGTGAATCTATTGTTTCTGTAACTGGTCTGTTTTTTTTTTTTTTTTTTTTTCTTTTTTTTTTCTTTTTTTTTTCTTTTTTTTTTCTTTTTTTTTTCTTTTTTTTTTCTTTTTTTTTTCTTTTTTTTTTCTTTTTTTTTTCTTTTTTTTTTCTTTTTTTTTTCTTTTTTTTTTCTTTTTTTTTTCTTTTTTTTTTCTTTTTTTTTTCTTTTTTTTTTCTTTTTTTTTTCTTTTTTTTTTCTTTTTTTTTTCTTTTTTTTTTCTTTTTTTTTTCTTTTTTTTTTCTTTTTTTTTTCTTTTTTTTTTCTTTTTTTTTTCTTTTTTTTTTCTTTTTTTTTTCTTTTTTTTTTCTTTTTTTTTTCTTTTTTTTTTCTTTTTTTTTTCTTTTTTTTTTCTTTTTTTTTTCTTTTTTTTTTCTTTTTTAAATTTTAATTTTTTTTTTTTGTAACTGGTTTTTTTTTTTTTTCCTTTTTTTGTCTTTTTTCGTGACGGGCAACGGGATCGCACCCCTCCGTGTTGTGCCTGCACCTCGCTCAACCAGTGAGCGGCCGGGCTGTACGTGGGATCCGAACCCTCGGCGGGAGCACCGCCGCACCCCCAAGCGGCGCACTGTAGCAGTGCGCCACCGGGCTGGCCCCTAACTGATCTGTTTTTGATCATGGGCCATATAACAGTATTTTTAGAACAATAGACATGGTAGGACAAAAACCATTTAGAAGACTTTGCTTTTGTTTCCTGGCAAGCGACATTGTCATTTTAATCTTTAAATGTTCATTAATACTTAGTATGTGTAAGCTGCTGTACAGTATTTTGCCTGGTTATGTTATCATATTTGAATTTTCTGAGAAATACCTAAATTACAAATTAGTGATGATAATTTGGTTGTTTGGGTTACCTTTTGGTTGTTTTGTTCATTATAATTTATTTTAAAGATAACATCATTTTTTTCCTTTTGTTTTTTCTACCTACATTTTAGGATAGCTTTTGGCCAAAATAAATAACAATGTGAACTAAGCTGATAAGGTAGAAAGTTCCTGAATAAATGCCCAAATCTCATGTCACCTGTGGTATCTTTTCTGCAAATATAGAATGATTATCTTCTTCATTGCTAGGAGACAAATTGTAGTATTTTTTAGTTTAACGTAACACTTAGTGACTTTGAATTAATTTTGACAATAGTTTTTTTTAGAGAAATGTAGCAGTGGTACGTAAGCCAAAAAAATCGCCATACAGGAGACTTCTTTCTGAATTTTGAGATTTATTTCTTGAGCTTGAAGAAAAGTATATTATATTGGTTTGAAATTGAAAAGAGAGATCACTGTGTTAGACATGGATATGTTTTCTCCACAATTAAATTATAAGCTTGAGAGCAGAGACCATGTCTTTGAACTTTTTGAACTTTGAATTTCCCATTTTGGCGCTAAACACACACTTCAGGCTCTTGGTAAACGCTTGCTGAGTAAGGAGATAATGAAAACAGACTGTGTGCAGTCGAGGGGGTGGTCCAGTCGCACTGTGGTGGTGGTGGTTGGGGGGGGCTTCTCCAACACAGGTGTCCAGTCGCACTGTGGTGGTGGTGGTGGTGGTGGGGTTTCTCCAACACAGGTGTTTGAACAAAAGCAATCTGGTTTCTGTTCACTTACCTCGGTGACAAAGCATACTTTATCAGACATTTTCTTTTAATAAGTGAGATGAAAATTTAAGATTAGATAGAGATGTGTATTTTGAAAAATGTTCTTAGTTGTAAGATTAGTAAAAGTAATAGTCTTAGAGAATGGTTTCTTTCATTTGGAATATATACAATATATCTAATTAATAGAGATCTTGCATTCATGGTTAGATAAGTACACAGGCATTAGGTTAAACTGCCTCAAATATTATTTTCTAAGTATTTATTATTTAATTGAAAACATTTTAAACTCTAATTACATTGTTTTGAAAATGAGAACTTGGTTAAATAAATCTTAGTAAAGTTAATAAAAATAGTAAGTTCTGGAACAGCCAATACTGTTATTTTATGTATTGTGTTAGACAGTGCAGGCCACTTTTATATTGAAATATTTGTTAAACTAATGTTTTTGAAAGCAATTGTTTTGTTCAAAAAACTAGTGATATGTAGAGGAAAAGTGATGAATGTTCTAGAAAGATGTTAGATGCTTTAAAGTAATTTTGAACAATTTAATGAATTTTTAAAGTTTTAAAATAGTAGTATGAAATTAGCATATTGAATAAGTTAAATTCTAAAACTAAACAAAATATTTTCACCTTAACCTTTAAATTCTCATTTTATGTTTATATGGGCAAACGTGTTTCTGATGTTAAAATGCTTTGTTTAAACTTTGTTGTGTTAGGTATGATGTAGCTTCTGTTGAGCATTACCAATATGTTTTAGTGAAAATCAACCATTATAGTTTGTGTTTTAAAAAGAATTATTAGTAGAGTTTCTTATGGTGTCTATTTTTTACTTATTTCGAACTCAAGGATAGAGCAACTTCACCTAAATATCTGAAGACCAAAAGATCTAAATATCTGGTTTTCCTCTATTTGGCGATTGTGTTCATTGCAAGAAACAGAAACAGAAACCGACCCAAATTAGCTCAAGTGAAAAGAATTTTATTGGAAATAGGTACAGGAAGGCCAGTTGGATTCATGAGAGGAACTGGATAGTTTTCTGGTAGATGCATGTAATCCATGTAAAGTACATAGCACAAAGTGCCTCGCCTGTAGTAAACACAGTCATGAGACATGTAATGATGTCCCCCCATGCGTGTTGACTGTGGTCCCATAAGATTATGGTTCCGTAATTTCACTATACCTTATCTATGTTTAGATACACAAACTCTTACCATTGTAGTACAGTTGCCCACAGTATTCAGTACAGTAACATACAAACATAGCCTAGGAGCGATAGGTCGTATCATATAACCTAGGTATGTAGCAGTCTACACGACCTAGGTTTGTGTAAGCATACTCCAGGGTGCTCGCACGACAAAGTCGCCTAACGACGCATTTCTCGGGACCTGTCCCCATCATTAAGTGATGTATGACTGTACTCAGATACTAGATGTGATTATCATAACATCCCTCTCAGGGCCCTGTGGCTTCCTCTACTCCTTGCTTCTGCTTTTCTTTGTAGATTAGTCTTCTAATTGCTCCACTTCTCCATGTGTTTTTTAACTGGCTTTGGGTTGCCACAGTACCTTGACTCCATATAATCTAGCTAAAGATCTCAATTTCTCTCTCCCCCTCCTCCCCACCGCATGCGCGCGCACACACGCACGCGCGCGCGCGCGCACACACACACACACACACACACTTCTGGGAGAAGGAATCTGGCCCAGTTTGGATCAAGTATGGTCCAGTGTTGTGAGTGGAACACTCTTTAAGACATGGACACAAGGAGGGAAGAACCAACCTATCTAGCGCTCTAATAAGTGTTATATTATCTGCTTTTAGCTCCACCCAAGACTGTCAAACCCCCTGAGGATCAACTGAAGTCTGAAAACCTTGAAGTGTCCAGTTCCTTCAACTATAATGTGCTGCAGCATCTCGGCCAGTTTCCACCCCTCATGCCCAACAAGCAGATCGCGGAGTCGGCCAACAGCAGTAGCCAGCAGAGTTCTGGGGGGAGCAGGCCCGCCATGTCTTATGCCAGCGCTCTGCGGGCCCCTCCCAAGCCCAGGCCCCCACCTGAACAGGCCAAGAAGAGTAGCGACCCTCTGTCTCTGTTCCAGGAACTTAGCCTGGGGAGCTCGTCGGGCAGCAATGGCTTTTATTCTTATTTTAAATAATCACTTTTTTTCCCTCAAGGGAGAATGTTTTAATTTCTGTTTGTACCAATAGAATTAAGGTAGTTGGACTTCATCTATAGATGCACAGTTCCTTTGTTTTAATATTAAATATGTTCTCACTTAATTGCTTTGCTGCTAGACTTGCAACTAATTTTTTAAAAGTATATTCCATTATTTTGCATTTTTGATGTGTCAGAATTTTGACAGCTTTTATGTAGAATAAAAATATTTTTAAATTTGTGTATTGTTACATATGTTTGCATCAAGCTAGCAGCTAAGAGGTTAATTGTGCAACTATAAAAAAAGAAAAAAAGTTTGTCTAAAATGTATTTAAAAAGAAAAAAAAAATTGTAAGTAGCATTTACATTTATTCAATAATATTACCATATGCTGGGTTTCTGTACCAGAAATGGCCAGTTGATGTACAAATGTATGTTATTTTTGCTTAAATTCATTTAAAATTTTTTAAAATAAAGGAGCAGCATCTTCTAAATACTTTAAGTTTATCAGCTTTTTTTTTTTGTGACAGGATGCTGCATTCTAAAACTTTTATAGTTTTAGACTACGTATTTTGTGCTGTTGTAATCTCCATCCACCGTAGGATAGAGTTAAAGGCATTCTTTGCAGGTGTATTTTGTATGTCACTGTTTTTTGAAATGTGAAAAAACATTGGCATACTTAGTTATTTTTTAGACAAGCTACACTTGAAGCTTGTTTTTAATGTTAATTTGATAGTGTGTTTTTTTTAAACAAATCATGAAGCTGAAAAATTTTTAGGATTGTTGGTGCTTTGTAGACTTGATAACTATTTTAAAAATGCGTGAATTTAGTAAAATCTTTTTTTTTTTTTTTTCTCACTATGCATGTGTAAATGTTTGTAACCTGGCATTTTCCCTTTTTCCAGTGGTATAAAGAATTGTGCCGCTTTAAGGTTTGGTTTTTTTTTTTTCCCCCCTCCAGTAAAAATTTTGGTACCTTATTTGATGTTTACATTAAAATGTGACATTATATATGGCAATTCAAATATTTTGCTAGCTGTCTTGTTTGAGGAACATCATTAAAGAAGAAATACAATGTTTGTCAAAAATGTATGAAAATTCATCAAAATCTGGGGCAGAAAACTACCCTTGTTTTTCAAGTCTTTCAGTTCTTCTAAAATACCCCTACTGAACTTGTATAAAAATATAAAATTTAAATAGCTATCTTAAATATTCTACAGTCTGACAGTTGTTTTGAATGAACTTTGGTAAAACCCAAAGGAAAATGTTTACCCTCTTTAAACTTGTCGTCTTGTCACACATTTGAAGCCATGCATGTCCTTATTTTCCTGATCTAGTAGTACTACTTTTATATTTCAGAGATATCTTAAAACTACAATATAACCTTCTTTTTCTAAATAAGATGAGGCTGAGGAACATTTCAAATGAACGCAGCCTTCTGGATGAGCCATTCAAAAGTAGTTTTCTGGAAGAGTACTTTTGATAGGCCATCTTATCTTCACAGTACATTTTTAAAACTGGGTTGATAGTGACAAGGGTAAAGAAAACTACTTACATCTCTTATATGACTGGAGTTTAGTTTATGTTGGCCAGCTACAACCTCCTGTAATCCTCAGACAACTTGGGATAAAAGAGAGTGCCTTTGGTGAAAGTTTAGCAAGCTACAGGACAAATGGGGCGTGCCTGTTTTAATCAGTTCTGCCTTTCTGCTCAGAGTGCAATTCATTTGTATGTGGCTTCCTATCCCAGGCTGCAAGTCTCTGTGTCAGGTGGCAGATGTAGACCTGTGGATTGCAGACGTGTTAATGGTTAGTATAAATCACACTTGGAAAACTGAGCCAGCACGTTACAGCCCTGCGCCTCCTCTGTGTGATGTCAGATCACCACATTTAGCTGTGTGTTACATTTGGCTCTCCATACTGTAGTCAGAAGAAAAGAAGAAAAATTTTTGCCATATAGCTATGTATTTCCAACTCAATGACTAAACTCAAGATATAACCCAAAAGAAAATTAGGTCTCGCTGATGTGAGGATGTCTATGAAAAACAATTTTCTCATCAGTGATGATCCCACCGCCCACCCCCTACCCCATATAAAGGACTACAACATAAGCTAGATAAATGTTCAAAAGCATTTTGAAAATATGAAGACAGAATTGCAATGTCAGGGCTTTCAGTTAACACCTTGTCAAGAGGTTATTGCCTAATTTTCTGTTTTCCATACTTGAACCTTTAAAGAATATCAGTTTTTAAATTATTTATATTTATATTTCATTGAAATCATGTGCACACACACACACCCTCCACCTTATATAAATATATTGATGATGGAAGCTTTGGATAAGGAAGCTGTTGTCATGTTCTTACACAGTAAGAACATCCTCATTCTAAACGGTTATTTCTAAAAATCTGAAAATAATAGCTACTTATTAGTCC